GACGTTTCAGAATAGTGACATTTCGTTATATTAATAATATAAGAAATTTTAAAGCCAAAGAATATTTGAATAAAGAAAAAAATTGTCGAAAGCTTTACTAATAATAAATGCAATTTTTAAATTTTATTGGTTAATTATTACATGTTCGAATGTTTAACCAATTATAAATCACCATTCAATTTCATGTGATTGACCAATCATGAGAAAGTTATCCTATAGGATGCTATGACGTGATTAATTCTACCATATGGTAGAATGCCGTAATTCAGTAATTCTACCACCAACCATAGATGGATACAATCCCTCACCAGTTTTAATATATGTGTAACATTAACGGTCTCTGCTGTCAGAATAAGCTAAAGGATCTTTAGTTGTCAAATCCATTGTTTCAATACTTTCATCTAATTCTTGCTAGTTTCCTTTTTGACTTATATTTTATAATAATAATTATAAATAAAATATTACCTGATTTTGTTGATTCTAATTCTTAGCACGGTTTTGACAATGATTAATAAAAACTTGGTTGTTTAGGATAATAATTTGTGCCATATATTTTTTTTAAACCAGTAATAAACTCTTGTTCATGTTGAACTTTTTTCATTAGCGTCTGCTCACGTAATGTATTTACTATATTTTTGTCAAGATTGGTTAGTTGGTAAGAACACACCAAGCATAACCAAACATACTGGACATATGTTCAAGTGAAAACTTAATTTTGAATGCGTTGTATCATTCAAAATGTAATTGCAAAAAATAATACATTCGAATCAAAAGTTTATCACTGCCGAAATCAAAAACTTATCGAATCGATAAATAACCATTCGGTCAATTTTTTACTAGATGTCCAAAAATAATGAAAAACAGCTGCAATGTTAGTGTAATTTGTTAAAAAAACTTGTCGGTAAGATGGGCTATCGTTGAAATAGTTGTCGGTGAAATAACTTGTCGATGAATTGATTGTCAGTGAAATGGGTTGTCGATGAATTGATTTTCGGCGAAATAGGTTTTATATAGAGAAACTATAAAATTCAGACCCAAATATATGTTTAACTCCCTAAATGCATTTTTTTCTTATTGTTATCTAAATGCACATTGCCAGGTATTCGGCAGGACAGTGTGCATTTAAGGAAGTTTCTCTGTATACGCTTTATAATTAGGCTCACTCGTACGATGTTATCGCCATAGGTTATGTGTGGGCTGTGTAGATTGCGCATGAAAATTGAAAATTCGTAATTTGCATACCCAGTTTTAATTAAACTTTTAGTTTATGTCAAAAATAATTACCTATAATCTCAACATGGAAATAACAAATCTTACTGGTTATATTATGAACGTAAAAATAATGTTTCTGTAAAATATGAAATAGTCTAAAATAATTTTAACAATATAAAATATAATTATTTATATAATTTACGGCTCATCTATTAATACCAAGTTGTTTAACGAATTGTATAAATCGTTATGCATTATATTAGGTCCTTGGAATGAATATTCAAGTGGATCATTTGTTAAAAATGACATTTGATTTGATCCATAAATTAATTCATTTTCAAAAGGTTGATTAGGACATTCTGCAGTCAAATTTTGATGGGTTTCCCCAAATGAATTTCGAAATTCACTGGAACCAACTTTCGATTTATGATTTGTCTTACTTTTTTTAAGTTCAAGTTTCGCGTGCAATGTTTTAGGAGTTTCAATTTTAAATCGTGAAGTGACGGTATCAAAAACATTTACCGAGGAGTTCTGTGAAGTTTTTTGAGAATTACATTCAAGAACGTTAGTTGTTTGTAATAATGTAGAAGGAGAATCAATTGTGAAGGAATCAGATAAATTTGTTTGAGAATAATTGCAGTCAAGAATACTATTTTCTTGTAACATCATAAGAGGATAGGTATTTGATGAAAAATCAGATAAATTTGTTTGAGAAGAATTATAGTTTATAATATTAGTTTCTTGTAATAACGTAGAATCATGTGTTGAAGAATCGGACGAATTTGTTTGAGAAGAATTATAGTTTATAATATTAGTTTTTTGTAATAATGTAGAATCATTTGTTGGAGAATCAGACGAATTTGGTTGAGAATTACGGTCAAGAAAGAATAATGATGTAGGAGGGTTAGTCAATTGGGAATTTCCACATTCTAGAGAATTTTGTTGCTTTAAATTAATATAAGATGAAAAGCCATTTTTCTTCATTAAGTCTACACACACCCGGATTACGTCTAATTTCTGAGAGAGAAATTGTTCTTCTTTCTGCAAATCATTTAATGATAAAGAACAAGTTGGGTTGACATCCTTAATTAATTTTGAGTTAAATGTGGCCTTTGGCCCTCTTTTGCGTGTTTCAATGAATACGCAAGGTGAATCTTTTTTTATGCAACGGACACATCGAGACTCTCCAGGAGATTTTATGCATCTTTCATGTCGCATTCGGCAATTTAAACATGCATTTGTTGAATATGTTCGACTAAAACGTAACGACATTGCAATAAAGTTATCTAATGTCTAGAAAGTTGGCGGATATTGTTATCTAATCTCTAGAAAGTTGGCGGATATTTACTTGTACAACACTATTAATCATGAAATATGAAATACAAAATTTGCAGTATTGCATGTAGCACAAAGCGGCAAAAGGTGTGTTTGCCGCTTTATCACGTGATCACAATTTCCGCAGTTTACCCTTGCGTTATAATTCTAAGTAATTAATAGTATAATCCGATATCAATTAAAACCAAATTAATAGTTTAGTAATAATAATCCCTTGTGGTTTCAGTATAGGTATCAGAGGATTAATAAAGCACGTTTATTATTTGATGCAAATTTTACATTCTGAGCATTGTGAATACACGACCTATATCATATTCTGATTCCAGTATATTGAATTTCTATATGACACGTAAAAATACGGTTTAGAAAGGTCAAATTTAGCAGTTGCAAAACATACATTTTTGATACTCCTACGCCTACTTTTTGATACATCTAAACATACTCTAAAACTAACCAATAAAATCGCACATTATTATAATAATAGTAAAACGTATAGAAATTTTATGGTATGTTTAGATATATCAAACAAGTAGGTGCAGAAGTATCAAAAATGAATGTTTTGCGTGTCTGTTAGTGTATTACTAAAAAATTTTTTACTCGTCATATTGTAGTCGCGTTTAGATATACTTGTTACTCCAGAACCCGTCATTTCCTGACAACCACCACTTTCCCGACAATGTCAAAATCACAACAAGTTAGCACGCATTGGATTAGGATTAGGGTTATGTTGGTCAATTTTTGATTTGTAAAGTAGATGTTGGGAAAATAATGTTACTCACGTAACTTATAAGCATATAATAATGATAACTAGATTCTTTCAAATTTCATATAAACGCATAAATATCAATGTTTCTGTAAACGCAATGGAAAATGCTTGGGTATTATACAGTTTACGTAAACAAACATTGGTTTATACCCCAGGTGTTTTGTATAGCTCATGAGGAGAAAAATATGTTATTGCTAAATCAGCCGTTGTTTATACCCGGGTCTATTACAGAATACTACACTCAGTAACCTTGAAACATACCTGGTACAAATCAAGGAGAGTACAAACCAGGGGTATTTTCCATTACGTCTTATGGCAGCATGATGAACAAAAACTTTTTATAGCCAATAAAATTCAGTCGGCCATTTTCAAAATTGCCGTACCAGAGCATATATACACAATCACAGTGTCACCATGATTATGTTTTCTATTTCTCCAAGATATTTCACACGATACTAGATCATAGTTTAATTTCATTGTAGTTTTTTATCTAATAAGGACTTCTTTAGTTTCTGAAGCTTAATGGGACAAAAAGATGGATCTCAAAAAGAAAAAAGCGCCCTTGCATGTAACAACTGCCATAGTGCAAAGAAACGTTGCGAGGGTTGGGAAATAATTTTCGACAATGGTGAAATCAAGAAATTTATATACTGTAGAAAATGTTTAAATAGTGGAATTGAATGTATTATTCCTCATCATTGCGTACAATGCAACAACAAAAAACTTCCTGCTATTGGTGTTTGTACGAAAGAAGTATGTAATAGGTTTCAGAATTTAGAAGAAGCATTAAGACTTTGTCAAAAATCAGTCAATGAAAAATCGCAAGCAATTTCAGTACTAGAGCACAAAGTTCAAGTATATGAACAAAAAGTTCAAGAATTAGAACAAAAAGCTCAAGAGTCAGAGGAATATATTCAAATGCTATTATCTCGAATGTTAACTCAAGGTAAATTGACAAATTCTTTGTATAATTTAAAATAATTATTTACTGTTGTAAACCTATATGCTATTATTACTCATATTAGATCAAGAAATGACTCAGGGTAAATCAAGTTATTATTATTTTTTTGCAAAAATCCAGCATGAAAAAGGTTTTAGTGCTTTTAAACAAAGTTGAAAGGAGATAAAATTACTGAATTTTGGCATTCCCAAATTGTATTTCAATTGTTGCGGTAATTCACGTGGCATCGTGACAATGTGATGTTGAAGAGTTTTGTAAACTAGCGTTGTTAGATTAAAATTCCGATTTAAATTTTGATCGCAAATTTTGATCGCAAATTTTATTCTGACTCGGGTAAGGCAGCAGGAATTAAAGTATCATTTATTGTGCTTTTAAAATTACCGATGGTTGCCCATCACGAAGAAATTCGAAAATTTTTTGGAATGAAAGGCCATAAAAATTTTCTGCTGTATTCCGATTTTTTTAGTCTTCTAATAATGTACTAGAACTGGTAGTTAGTTTTGCCAAATAATATTAAAGTTCCAGTTTCTTTCTTGTATTAACGGGAATTTTGCCATTATTTAGCCTAAAATCTATCCATTTTAGTATATTACTAGAAATAATACTAAGGGATCGGGAGTCTTTAATTTTTTATTTCCAGAAAGTTAATTGAATTTATTTGTGAAAAAGTGTTAAAGTTTTCAAATTTCATCGTGATGGGGTAATCATCGGATGTTCATAGCTATTGAAAAGCACAATAAAAAGCGCTATAAAATACGGCAGTGATGTATTAATGTCATTGCACCAATATACAGCAGTGATGTATGAAAGCCATTGCACGAATATGCAGCGGTGATGTATGAATGTCATTGCACAAATTTTATACGATATTAAGGGATAGTTACCTCTGGCTTTCCAAATGTCTGCATCCCTATAGACGCACGGCTTTTAAAAGCCTATAATAACGGGTTATACTTTCTCCACAAACACCTGGTAAAAAAAAAAAACACAAAACATGTGATGTTTATGATATGGATGTACTTAAGTTCAGATTTAATATATTCAGATCATAATTATCACCTGTTTTAAATATATGATAAAAACATTTAGATATCTCTACCCTGGATTTACAACAGACTATAAGTGGTTACAGGTGTATGAAAACAAACTTGAATCATGCTGATGGGTAAATGCATAGGATAATTTCATTTTAAAGACTAAAAATACCCATTTACATATTATATATATATTGTATAATTCGATAGCTCATGAACCATATGAAGAGACTTTCAAACAAGATGGAGAGACTTTCGAACCAAATGGAGAGACTTTCGAACCAGATGAATTTTTCGAACCAGATAAAACTTTCAAACCAAATGAAACTTTCAAACCAGATGGAACTTCCGAACCATATGAAGAGACATTCAAACGATATTTTCGTTATGATGAATAAACAGTTTTTGAACATTTAAGCAATTGAATTTTAACGTTCTTAGAGGTAATTATTTTTTAAAGAATCATAATATCTATAATCTTTACAAATGCATTATAGAATTTTTTGACCTAACTCGGAATTTCAAGTTCGTAAAGCATCATTTGGGTAAAATCTCCAGAAAACTAGAATCCTCTGAACTTATTATCCAACTTATTTATCTACAACTTATATCCTTTATCAAACGCAAAATATAATCACTATTTAATTGGTTTTCAAGAAAGTTACAATTTCAAATGCTTTTAGGGATTGTTAGTAGAAATCATTTATATTTTACAAATTATAATAAATTGTAAAATCGTGCATAACATAATTTACCTATCAAAATATTTATATATGTCACTCTAACTATATTGACATCTGGATATACCGACATCTGGTTATGACATTTACTAAAATTTTGAACCTACTGACATCTGGGTATATCGTAAAATTTATTTATTTTTTTGAGGTGTCGACATAACTGAATTGACGCATTTTTTATATTTTGAGAAGATGAGCTTTTCTTATATAAACATTTAAAAGACGGAAAAGCCATTTAGAGCTTTCCTATCTGTTTAGCTTTCTTATCGGAAAAACGGAATAATTACGATTGAAAATTGCCTAAAAAGGAATTCCCAATAACCCATTTTATAACAAAGTATTCGGAATAATTGGAATAATTGAATAGGAAAATTGGCTAAAAAGGAATTCCCAATAACCCATTTTATAACGCAAGTATTCGGAACAATTGGAATAATTAGAATTGCTCGAATAGGAAATTACTAGATCCATCACGGAGAAATGGAATAATGAAGATCATATGGTTACCATTACAAGTAAGTGACACTGCACTATCCAATATGAAGATACCAATATGTACGTACGTCCGAACTATAGAATGATACACAAAAATGAAACATGCCGCTAAGTGAAAACCAATAAGTTTAAAAATAGAATTCTTTATTCACGGAGTTTAGGTTATTAATCGATCCGACTAAAATAACTGACCAATCAGGCAAAACCCATAATACTCGAGCAGATTATGCAGGTAGTTAGTAAAGTAGTACAGTACGATTGTACAAATATGTACGTACGTACGTACGAAAATTGAGCAAATTTTGATACGTAGTACGTATGTACGTTCGATTAACATAGCAGCATAGGTTTTTAAAATTAATTTTTATAGGTCCATTATCCATTTGTTACAAGGATGTGACGAATTATTGGGTGTGGCTAATAAGCATTATTTAATATAATTATTTAGCTAATGATTACTCGCCATACGAATATTCGTCACATCTCATGCCAGATGAAAGAGGAGACCTAATCCTTTACAATTAATCAAATTTTTTATATTTAGGGTTAGGGCAAGTACGAACATTGTTCTTTTTTCGTGTGAGCTTATAGGAAAATTAACTTTGTCTCAAAAGAATTTTTTCTTTTACAAACCATCATAATTTCTATACGTATTTATTTGATAGGTGGTACAATTACGTATAACATGACCTGTATGATCACGATACTATTGGTACATCTACAAATCAGGTATTACCTAAAGTAGAGATATTACCCGACTTGTAAGTTAACCCGGCTTTACTTTTTTGTGCCGGTAATACAAACTCCTAAAAAGATAATAGCAAATCAGGTTTGATCGTTCCGGATCAGCTTGACATGAATTCCGAACACGTTGTAATCGTAAAACGGCGAGTCAGTCGCTAATCGGTCGGATCTCTCGTGTAACCTTTAGGGTCGGTAAATCG